ATTAGACATTAATAATTATATTTAATACTTTTTTTTCCTTATTTAACAAATATACATAGAATTTAAAAACAAAATGATGAGAAGATTTGTTCCATATTGTTATGTCTGAAAAGGTAGGGCTGACGTGGAACCTTGTTAGCATGGGATGGTCAGAACTTGGGAAGGATATGTAACCGTCCAGACGCAGCCATGTCGCGTAATGGCGCAAGTGGCACGCCCCCGTCAGTGCAGTGGGTGAGTGCCAAGCTAGAAGGTGGTTGGAAATCGTCCACGTGTCCAAACCTTGCATAAGTCGAGGAAATCCCTCAGGCAAGTGAACAATGGGACACAGAGAAGGATTTGCACAGTACCCACCCACCCACTTGTAGATTTAGTAATCATTATCTTGGTTTCTCCCACTATAAATAGAGGCATTTCCTCTAATTTGCAGGATGGGCTAATTTTGCTCTAAAATAGCTTTCTCTCTCTCTCTCTCTCTCTCTCTCTCTCTCTCTCTCTCTCTCTCTCTCTCTCTCTCTCGTATTCTCTCTAAACGGTAGCTCAGCTCATTGAATGTGACCTGACCTTTATCCTCTTGTTAATACACTAGTAGTGGACGTAGGATTCACTTTTGAGCATCCGAACCACTTTAAACATTGCCTTATTTAACTTAATATTTCCATATCACGTGTGACTTCTAAGTCCGCTTAGCATTTCACACGTGCGAGTAGTTGGTGTCTAAAATCGAGCATCAACAGTTTGGCACTAGCAGGAGGGCTGATCGTAGATGAGCTAACGACGATCAGCGAAAAGGAAAGAAGCAACGGTACGAGCCCAAGAAATCTTATGCCCCAGTTCCTCGTCGCGATTGCGACAAGAGTCAATACACTCATCTGAATGCCTCTGTATCGGCTATTCTAGATAAATCAAAGGAGGCTGGTTTGCTCGGAGAGCCCGAGCCCATGAAGAATCCCCCCTCGACCAAAAATGATAAAAAATACTGCCGTTATCATCGGGATAACAAGCACCACACCGATGAATATCGGGCCCGTAGGGTTGGCCAAAAAAAACTAAAAAAAAAAAATTCAAATACCCCTTTCACCTTTGAAATATAAACGTTTTGTAGCAGTTGAATGGGTATTTTTCATCATTTTCTTTTCCCATTTTTTTTCCATAAATTGGCCCTAAACTCTCATATTTTCTCACATCCCAAATTCTCTTATTCTTTCATTTTCTCTAATCTCTATTGAAATCTCTCAATTATTCTCTTTGTTGTCAATTTGCTCTCATTTTAATTTTTATTAGTTTTTGCAATTTTTAATTCATATTTCCAAATTCCAATTCTCCTTCTTCAATTTTTTATTTCTTCTATATCAATTTTTTTTTTTTTTTAACTACAATGGATATATATTTCTCTCCCATCAATTTTGATGATGAAGGAAACTACTATCCTAGTCCCGCTGAATTTACTAACATAAATGCAGCAGATTCAAATAATCCAGCTTTCCCAGTCTCAGAATCCGATACACCTCAAAATATGCCCCCGATTCCTTCCTATGCTGCTACAGCTCTCGGTGGTTCTAGAAGTCGTCTTCCTTGTCCAACTTCATATCAAGCAGAAGCGGGTTCATCAATTGCTGTCGAAACCAACGATAGGCACACATCAGACGTTTGGGTGCATCTCGATAAGTTTTACAAGACAGAAAATGAAGTTCAAGTAAAGAAAGTAAGATGCAAATATTGTGTAAATATTTATAAAGCTGATTCAGGTAATGATACTAGTACTTTAAAAATGCATGCTAATAAACATATTACTCAACATGAAAATAGAGAAACCAATCAAACTCAAATAACTAATATGAGTAATACTTGGCGTTATAATTCTGATTTATATAGGGAACAATTAGCTTTATATATTGTTGCAACTGATCAACCTATTAATATGGCTGAAGATAAATATTTTGAAAGATTTATTAAAAATTCATTTTTCTAGGATTTAAAAGTTATTCTAAAACTATAACTAGAAATGATTTAATAAAATTGTTTGGGAAAATGAAATTAGAATTAAAAAATAATACATAGTTGTCATGTTAGTGTGGCTCTAACACCGATATTTGGAGTGGTAGAATTAAACAAGATTATATTTGTGTGACTAATCATTATTTTGATAACGAATGTAAATTAAATAAATCTTTATTAGGATTTAGATTAATAGATGTGGATCATAGTTGTCAATAAATTTATAATAAAATTGTTGAAGTTTTAGAAGATTATGATGTTATTAATAAAATGATAAGTTTAACTTTAGATAATGTAAGTTTTAATAGTACAGCTATAGAGTTTTTTACAAGTAATTATCATTTTTATGACAATTTGAAGTTTTTTCACCAACGCTGTGCATGTCACATTATTATTTAATTATGAAAACGGGTATGAAAACAATTAGAGATAATATTGATAGAATTAGGGATTCTTTAGCTTGAATTACTGGTAATAATAAAAGAAATGTTCAATTTCAAGATGCTTGTATAAAATCAAATATGTCTCCTAAAACTTTTGCATTAAACATGCATGTTAGATGGAATAATACTTATTTAATGCTTGATTCATGTTTATCTTATGCAAATTAATTAGTTATTTTGTAGCAAATAATAGAGGTCCTCATTATTTGGTAGAAAATGATTCGCATATAGCTAAAAAATTTCATCATTTTCTTAAAATTTTTTATCCATCCACTTTACAACTTTCCGGTGTGTATTATCCTTTTAGTCCATTAGTAATACATATAATTATAAAAATTTCAGATTTATTTAGAAAAAACAAAAACAATTAAATTTTAAGGGAACCAATAAAGGCAATTGAATTTTTTTTTTTTTAAATATTGAAAACTCATTCCTTTTCTTTATTGTTTAGGTGCTATATTTGATCCTAAAATTAAAGTAGCAGGTTTAGAAAATGGTTTAGACACATTAACTGAAAATTTACAAAATGAAGCATATGCCAATCAACTAGGAGAGGTAAGAGAGTGTCTTGCAGATGTATATTTGCAATATGAAAACAGGTATGTGAACCAGCAAAGAGGCCAAATACTCAGGAAAGTTGCATAAGAAGAAACAAATGAAGACTTCGACTCTTGGAGTGCACTTAATAGGCCGAAGAGGACCTGAACCCGAAGCACAACCTCTTCTTCAGAAGCACCAACAACGAATATACTGTCCTCCATGCAGTCACAGAGTAATGAGCTTCAATAATATTTAGGAACCCTCGAAGTGTTACCAGCAAATCCACAACAAAGAGCCAACTTTGATGTCTTAGAATATTGGAAAATCAAAAAATATATTTTTCTGGTATTATCAAGACTTGCCTTGGATGTTTTCGCTGTTTCTGTCTCAACTCCCTCATCCCAACAAACATTTAATGCAAGTGGAAGAATTTTAAATGAAAGGAGGACCAAACTTTCACAAAAAATGATTGAAGTGCTCACATGTCTTCGAGATTGGGAACGGTCACGCCATCAGGATCAATACGAGGTTGTCGACGATACTTTAATAGAATAATTTCAATTTTGTAATATAGATGATACGGACGAGGGAGGTCCTAGTCAACCCCCAAATTAGTTGTTTTGTAAATTGTAAATTAATTGTCAATTATTGCACTCTTTTTTTCTTACCAAGTTTTTGTCGGCTTTTTCTTGGTAAGATTTTTAACAAGACAATAATTGTTGTAATTTCTTATTTTATTTTTTGATAAATGAATAAATCTAATTTTTCTTATATTACAATTTTAATGTATTAAAATTGAATTAATATTTGAAATGTTAACCAAAAAAAAAATTAATTGAATTGAATTATTGATATTTGAAAAGTTAAAAACAATTACGTAAAAGAAAAAAGAAAAAAAAAATTATGGGCTAATCTGACTCGCATCATAACCTGACAGGTTAGGGTTGACGGGTCGGGCCGGATCAGCTTTTATGGTCAAAAGACGGGCCTAATCCGGTCAGTCATTGTTAACGGGTTGGATTAGGCCCCGCCCACCAACCCCCATAACCCGCCACAAGTCGGGCCGGGCGGGTCATTTTTCCAGCACTGGACTGGTGAGACGGTCCATGCCTTGCTGCGAGTGATATGATGGGAAGATAAGCAAGGAAACGGCGTCGCACAACCACATCGACTCAACGTAAACGAAACGAAGGAACTTCTCTACGAGTCCTATTTCAGTTAGAGAGTACTGAATTAAAGAAGAATAGTAGACTAGATCGAAGTCCATCCTAAAATGGAGGACTTTTGGAAGAGAGCCAAAACCTTCGCGGAAGAAGCGGCGAAAAAATCACAAAGCATAACGACCTCAACGAAAATCGCCGATCTGGTGGCCGAGACTGCCAAGAAGTCTAAAGAACTGGCATTGGAAGCGTCTAAGAAAGCCGATGAGATCAAAACTGCGGCGCTCAAACAAGCCGATCAGATCCATATCAAGTCCATCACCGACATCATTCCTCCTCAGCTCTCTTCGTTGTCGTCCATTGCCACCTCATCATCCTCTTCTTCGGATCTCACCATCTCCGACTCTGAGCTACGGAAATTCGGTGTCACTGATGATTTGAAAGAGTTCGTTAGAGGACTTACTTCTAGTACATTCCAGAACTTTCCTATTCAAGGTAGGTGAAAAATAAAGTCACTAAAAGTTCAGTCCTTTTTTTTATTTTTTGTTTTAATTTTTCGGCATTGTGAGTATATAGATGAAGCTGAGACGTCTGATGTGCCTACCACGACTTCGAATGTGAGGAAGGATCTGACGGAGTGGCAGGAGAGACATGCTACGCTTGTTCTCGCCACTGTCAAGGTAATCTAAGATTTTTTTTTTTTTGAGAAATGTATATGTATTAATTTGATATTTTTGTACATCAGAGGTGGAATTTAGTTTAAAGTGGGGGACTAATTTTTATAATAATTAATTGCTGCAGGCAATCTCCAAGTTGAGATATGAATTATGCCCCCGTGTTATGAAAGAAAGGAAATTCTGGAAGATATATTTTACGCTTGTTAGCACTCATGTAGCTCCGTAAGTAACTTTTAATTTATCTAATTCTGTTTTGGCTTACAATACGTTAAAACTTTGCTTCATTGTGATCTTGGAAAAAAAGTGACTTTGACGGTGTCTTAGTGTAAACATTGTTGTTTATGAATTCTTGTTAGTAGAAGAGATTTGTTATTAGAATTGACGTCATTTTGTATTGTATCCAGAGAAGAAAGAAACCCGAAGACAATTTTAATAAGAATGATCTGTTAAATTTCTTCTCATCAATAGTATGTTCATGGGTAAACGTTGATTCATATGTGTTTGAATTTTGTGCAAAATAGTGTAGATCATTAGAAACTGAACATTTGGCATGGCAATATAGGTTAGACAATTGGAGTATAGTTAACTGTTTCCATTTAAAGCCAATATTTGTTGATTTCTTTGGTTTCCATAGCCCGCTTGTCAGAGCCCATGAGATAATGCAGTTTTTAATTTTTTGATTTCTCGGTTTGGGTATAGTGGAATAAAATCAAGATAAAAAAATTGAAACCTGAATAAGAATATTTATGTGATTTATATTTTAAGGCTTGTTTTAATTAAGCTTTATAGATGGAATTACTGAATCTTTAGAACATATGCTAATGAATAAGTGAGGTTCCTGTTGAATTGAGTTAGTTGGTAAAGGATCGCAAAATGTAAACTGGAATCGCAAAATGTAAACTGAAGTACAGAGGTGAATTTGGGAAGAAGACAGAATAATTCTCATTAACAAAAAAATACTGTAGCTTACAAATTTATAATACAAAAGGAAAGTAACTTCCAAAACTAACTATTTTTACATTACAGCTAGCTAAGTCAACCCAGTCAACCATTCTTAATATCCTAACATCCTCCTTTAAACAAAACCTCTACAACTTGTCACTACTTCCAGTAACCAATATTACCAACTATCCTAACATCCTCCCTTAAACAAAACATCTTTAACTTCTATTACTTGTGTGACCATTATCACTACTTTTGCCACATTATCAATCTGCTGCACCTTAGATCAATCAAGTAAATATCACCTAAAACCACCAATCCTTCTTGTCACCAACAAACCTGCAAAACTCCATGATAAAGAAGTGCAAGCACATTCCACCAGTAACCCTGCAAAATTTCATCATAAAGAAGTGCAAACAAAGCTCCACCAGAACTACAAACAAAATTCTACCAGAATTGCAAACAAAACTCCACCATATCCATCAGTAAAAAAAAATGACATCAATATTTAGCTGGTAAGAAGCCACTCAGGCAACTGCACCAACTCCAGTCACCTACATCATCTTCAGCAGACAAACTCAATTGTACACCAAACTTCACAGCTGCTAAGAAGCCACTCAGGCAACTGCACCAACTCCAGTCACCTACATCAATATTTAGCAGACAAACTCAATTGTACGCCAAACTTCACAGCTGCTAAGAAGCCACTCAGGCAACTGCACCAACTCCAGTCACCTACATCAATATTTAGCAGACAAACTCAATTGTACGCCAAACTTCACAGCTGCTAAGAAGCCACTCAGGCAACTGCACCAACTCCAGTCACCTACACTAATATTTAGCAGACAACCTCAATTGTACACCAAACTTCACAGTTGCTAAGAAGCCAAGTTAGTTGGTAAAGGGTCGCAAAATGTAAACTGAAGTACAGAGGTGAATTTGGGAAGAAGACAGAATAATTCTCATTAACAAAAAAAACTGTAGCTTACAAATTTATAATACAGAAGGAAGGGCAAAACAGTAACTTCCAAAACAAACTATTTTAACAGCTAGCTAAGTCAACCCAGTCAACCATTCTTAATATCCTTACAAATTGATGGAAATGTCTCTTTATCTTTGCTATACTTAAACTCAGGTATGAGAAGCAGTACATGGAGGAAATTAAGCTCAAAGCAAAGGAGATCAAGGATGACCAAGTGAAGCCAACTCCTGTAGTTGGAGATACTGATAAGTCAGAGGTGACGCGGAAGAGCTTGAAAAGTAAGACTTCATCCACTGAGCAGGACTTGGATACATTTCTTTTGGGAGATCTCGAAGATAGTGATGGGGGTCCAGGTATGTTCTTTTAACTCTGGGATGCATGGTCATGATCCATAAGCCAATGTGATCTCAGGTTCACCATTCAGATGGTTGCGACATGCTTTTCTCAATTCAAACTTTACCACCCTTGCCCTGGGTCTATCATGTGACCAAGCATTCAATTATTGCATAGTATAAGTATGTAATCTTTCTGCGCAATATAGCAGCTCTCCTGCAATGCAACTTGTCTGCACCTGACATATTCACTTTGAGCGATGTAGTTATGATGCGTCAATGTAGTCAATTGTCAGCTTTGATGACAACATAATGTATCAGTGCATTTTGAAATTTCCAGAATGGTATCGAGTTGTCAAAAAATTGAGCTGTTGAAATAAGAGATGGTGAAATGCCTGATTGAGTGGAAATTGAAATGCTTCAATGCCTTGCTTTCTTTTCTTTTTCTTTTTCAATTTTAATGCATTTAAAGATAAGTGTTGGACTCTCTTTGTGGCAATATATACAATAAGAAATTGAATGATGTAGCTCATTTGTTGAGCTCTTTGAACGTTCTTGTTATTTTCTATGCTAAACGAAGAACTTGGTGAATTGATAATGATATACATTTTCTAGTGATAAGCTGTTTTCTTTTTCTTCTGTGGTCCACAAGCAAAGCCCATAAAATAATGTTCATTCCTTGTCATTGGTGAACGTAGTTTGCTCAATTTTGGCTGGTTAACTTTATTGTGTTATCATTTTCAGTTGCTTTTATCAGCCTATGCACATTGTATACAGAAGTGATCTTCTGGTTTTACTTATTGCACAAATTTTTACATGTGGACTAGGGCAAGATCACGAATAAACTGCACCTGACAATTTATGTTTTATTGTCTTTGGTGTTTGATTTGGCAATTTTACAAGCTGTTGGCACATTGTCTTTCAGATGATGGTGATGCAAGCTTTGATGATGATTTTGACAAGATTGGCAATTCTGTAAGTTACCTTCTGATTTCCTTCCTGTCAGCATCCAATGTAGTACCTTCTGTTTTACTTTTCCCTATTTCTTTAAGAATCATTTGAGGTTTCACCAGAATTTGATTATCAATGACGGACATGATTAGTGTGCAGCACCTTGCCGGAGTAGTTATACCTAAATTAATTTGCATTTGTTTCATTTATGGCCATGTCCAGGATGTTGAGGATGAGAAGCGTCCCGAGAAGGCAGATGCTACTGAAAGCTAGAGTGCTGCCAGTAATTGATGAAGAGGACTGCAGATGAGAAACAAATGAACAGTTAATGCAGTATCCGAAAGTTTATGAGGGTGAACTTTGGTGGAGCCGTGGAGGTAGTAGAGGTTTGGTTTGCTGGAAAATATGCAGATGATATTTACTTTTGAGTAATTGTGTTAATGTTGACAGATTATATGGTGCCTATTTTTAGTTAAATAGAGGATGTTAGAATTTCAATGTGCCTTGTACAGCACAATGTATTTGTTAATTCAAAGTGTTTCATTGATTGTTTTAGAAATTTATTATCAAATGCTCTTATTTGATTTTGTTCTCAACATATAATGGAGGACTGGAACTTTATAGAACTGCTTATAACCTTATTGGACAATACTATTGAGGATGACAGGTAGGGAAGGTTAGTGGAGAAAAATATGCTACAATTCATCTTTAGGATGGGCGCGCAAACATTTGAACCCACTGAGGTATCCTTGAGCTAGCTCTGTACAATGATTCCGTATTACTGAAATTGAACATCTTGGAATATTACTGAAATTGAACATCTTGGAATATTTATCAACTTACTTGTTCTGCACAACGAATCATTTTCGAGCTAGTTATCAACATGTATTATTTTCTTAGAGGAGTTTAGATCCTATAATGTTTTATTATAGGGAGTTGTTATATTAATAGAAATGTATATCACCTAGAAGATTACTAGAAATGTTTAGAAAATGTGTTTGGTTGGTTCGAATAAATTGATGAATAATATGTTTGGTTGGGAGGATAAATGGGTGAGTATGTTAGATTACCAAATTGTCTTCTTTTTTAAATATTAATATAATATTATTTTTTTGAATCATTTCTTTTAACCTCTTACATTTGAAATTTTGCTAAAACACTTCACCTATATAAAATTTTAATTTGTAACAAAATCATCACCACTCACCCTAAGCCATTGTTAGGAGCCAACCACCACCGTCGGCTGCCACTGACAATCGACAAAATGATGCACGACTGGTCGTATATGGTTGATCATGCGTCGACAAAGCCATCTTCGGCCGTGAATCAAATATTCATGGCCGTTTCACGACCAGATCTATGGCTATTTCACAATTGTGAAACAGCGACCGTGAAACACCATAGAAACAGCTAGATTTGGTCGTTTCTAGCCATGGATCACACATCTATGGCTGAAAAGGCCTTATCGACTAGATCCCGTTGGTCGTGCACTATTACGACGGCTGACAGTGGTGGTCTTGGGTGATTGGAGGTATTTTGTTAACTTTAAAACTTTTTTGTGACTAGGGTGTTTTAACTAATTTATCAAAATATAGGGGGTTGGGTAATTGTTATTTGATAGACATTTGAGGGTAATTATACCCGAAATGATTTTTAATTAAGGGTAAAATATGTATAAAAATCAGATTATTCTAGTTATGTTTTAATCCTAGGAGTGGGGGAAGGAATTGGATTACTCCCCACTTTATCAACAATAAATACTATTTACAATAAAATATTTCTATAATATTTTATATTTGTAAATCAATTACTAGAATCTTATAAAATAAACGAATATTACTAATTGTCTTAGATCACCCTACTCCAAACGCACCCTAATAATTAGGTTAAACTAATTGAACAATGTAAACTATATGAGAGAGTTGATCTTCTGTTCACTCACGCGGCACTTGCTCTCATTGCACGCAGAGTCAGCGAGCTGGGAAACTGTGTTTATAATTTCCACTCTCGGTAAGCTGGTGATTTATAAATATAGGCACAAACAAAATAAGAAATAACGGAGCTATCCATTTGAATTAGTTCTTTTGACTGGAACGTTTCTAATTGCAAAGGAAAAGGTAAGTTTAAAAAATAAACACAATTTATATTTCTTTAGTAATACTCTGTAATCTCTATGTACTCATAACAAATTTTGATCTCAACTTAGATAAGTTATAAATAGAAATAAATTTAACATTGTAATAAGTTATAATTTTTCTAGGTCCGTCTTTAGGAACTTGCCTCTATATAATAATAATTATATATATATTACAAAAAATATATGTTATATTACATTAAAAGTTTAAGATGAAATAAAATATTTATCTAAAGTTATTTGGAACAATGATTTATGCTTTAAAGTTGTTACCATAGTTTTTATTTTATGGGTACATAATAAGCCGCTAGCATGAATACCTTCTTATTGAAGCAAAAAAATTTGTAGCTCTCAAGCATGTTCAGAGCTTCTTGGCATGAAATTTTTTGTATTTCCGTACTATTATCCTCAAGATTATATTATTTCCCTTCTTGTCTAATTCAAGTAATGATTTTTTTTTTTCAGTTAAAACATACACGACTTGTTGTTCATTTGGATAATTGAGAAAAATATTAACATCTATTTGATTAGGTTAGTCTAAGTTGTTGAATCTGGTCACTTAATTTTATAGTGACTCTTTGATAACTATTTTCATACTATTCTAATATTACTAAAACAATGAATTGAAATCCTAATACTACTAGAACATGAATTACAAAATAATAAATCAAAACAATAATTCTTGTAATTATACCTCTATTAAATTATAATTTTCTTGTAGTAATAAATTTAATTGGTCCGACGTTATGACTATTGTGAGATTATATATATATATAAAATTTGAAAAAAAAGTATATATAAATAATATCGCACGTAACATATATAATTAATTTTGATTTCAATTAATAATTTTCATATATGAGATGACAGAAGAATTGCATTTTTTTTTTTTTTTTTTATAACAAAGTACAAAAATTGTTTCGCTTTCACCTCTGATGTTCCCCTTCTCCTGTTACACTTTCCCGTCTCCTCCAAGCCCTTGTTTTGTTGTTGTATTAGGACTATGGTTCTTTCTTCCCGCTTAACCTCCGTATTGCCCTTCTCTTTTCGCTTAATCCCCGCCATATCCTCTTCTCTCTGCAGAGCTGCACACACCTTGCCTTCACCCTCACAACCCCCTCCTCTCCCGAAGAAAGTTCCTTTCACACTCTCTGCTCATGGACTCACTTGGCAAGACCCCTACCATTGGATGAGAAACACCAACGATCCTGATTTTATTAACTACCTCAACCAAGAAAACTCTTATGCTCAAGCTTTTATGGCTGAGACGCACAATTTGCAGCGTACTCTCTTCTCTGAGATGAAAAACAGAATGCCCGCCAAAATTTCAACTCCTCCTGAGCGTTGGGGACCTTGGTTTGTCCATTTTCTTCCCACCTCATTTCATGCTTTTTCCTAATTCACATCTATTTTTTTTAAATAAAAATTCTCGAATGTTAAATTATTTTTCTTTTCTTTGTAAATGGGAAGTGCTATCTACGGTACACAACATCATTTTACTAACAGTAACATAGAGCGTTGTGATTGTTATATGCTACCATTTTGGTGTTCTTACTGGTGGGTTAACAGTAGTGTTCGTTTGTGATTATGAAGTTCAAGTTTAGTTGATAGATATTGCACTCGAAAGTCCTGTTAACTGTCACTGTGATCAGACACGCTATTATTAGTGGAAAATGTATTTGGAATCAATGAATTGTTGTTTTATTACTACTGTATAGGTTATACTACCAGTACATACCAGAGGGGAAAGAGTACCCAGTTCTATGTAGGAGCTTGGAAAACGAGGAAAGTGGTTGGATGAAGACTATTCTTCGCAATGTGAGAGGACAATTTGGAAAGGAGGAGATTTTGCTTGATTGGAATGAAGTTGCTGAAAAATATGGTAGGTCTTGCTTCCTGGTATATATGACAATCCCTTCTAAATTGCTCAGTAATTATGTTGAGACGATGGAATGTAATGATCCTTCTTTACCAATTTTTGGTGGGTCTAAGAGGCAAAAAGAAATATATACCTCACCATAGCGGAGCTTCGGTAAATTACAATTCTTTTGGCTGTCTATATGCTAGTGTGAAAAAGTGTCATTTGGAGTTTTGAGTTGCTTAATTCTGTACATGGTGGTTATGCTATGTTGTTCATAAAGAATTTACTTTCCAAATGAAAGGAATTTTCTAAAGGGAAATGTAAATGGTCATGAGGAGAACCAAGTTGATAGCACTGACTATGTCCATGTTAATATACCCCAAAAATTGTTTCATACAACTCTTTCATTTGCACTTAGAAGTTTTGCAATGCTTGTACATGATAGTTGTGATTGAGTTTTATCATTTGTGATTTTAACTTTCCCTTGTGTGATTACTGTTTTAGGTTATGTTCATGTGGGTACATGTCGAGTTTCTCCAGACCACAATTTTCTAGCATACACGCTTGATACTTCTGGTTGTGAACGGTTCATGCTTCAAATTAAGGACCTCAGAAATGGATGTATGGTTCCAAGGTTACCAGCTCATGGAGTTGTCAGCTTGGCATGGGCTCAAGATAGCAAGACTCTCTTTTATACTATCTCGAATGAAAATCAACGGCCTTTCAGGCAAATTAATCTAAGCCGTGTTTGAAACTGTTTTCTTTAAGATGGGGATGTTTGCTCATCTACTTAATTGTTTATTTTTTTTACTTGCAGGGTCCACTGCACAAAGCTAGGTTTAGATAATACTGAGGATATCCCAGTATTTTCAGAAAGTGATTCCAACTTTTGTGTGGATATAACAAGCACCAAAGATGGCAAGTTCATAACTGTGAATTCAAACTCAAGGACTTCTTCCGAGGAAGGAATTTACCAATTCATTTTGTTGTGTCTGATTATAAGATAATTGTTTTGTTTTTGGGAGAGTTACATCCTATATTGTTCTTATTACAGGTATATGTGATAGATGCAAACAACCCATTAGGTGGCTTACATAAAGTACATAAGCGTGTTTCTGGAGTACAGTATTTTTTGGAACATCACTATGGTTTATTCTATATTCTCACAAATGCTCCTTTAAGTGAAAATGAGAGGTCACTGGGTGGAGATTACTACTTGGCTACATGCAGAGTTGAAGAAATGCACTCAGCTAACTGGCAGGTATCTTCATTTTTCTAATAGAACCTCTCTTTTTTTGTGCATATCCTTTTTCCTCGTTACATACTTCTTTTTTCTTCTCAGAATATCATTTTTCCAGGTGAAGATATCAGCGTACAAGATATGGACATTTTTAATGGACATTTGGTGCTCTTTCTTAATAAGAAAGGTGTCCCCATGATTTGTTCTATCAGTTTACCAATCAATTTTGATTGTAAGGTAATTGAATTATCTGCTTTATCACATTCTTACTTTCACAAAATCATCAAAAGCACCCTCTTACTATATTAGTGATAATTACACTGT